GAAACATCCTTTGCACCATCCATCTTGAATTGTGTTAGTATATCAGTGATATACTGGCTCTGCGACAAAAACACACCATCCACAGCAGGAATCACCTCAACACCTAAGAAATGATGTAAGGTGCCGAGGTCTTTGAGAGCAAACCGTGATGATAAGGTTCCCACAAAACGATCAAGCCATGTCATATCATTCCCTGTCAATATTATATCATCGACGTACACTAAAAAATAAACAAGTACATCACGAGTGGAATAAACAAATAACGAGGCATCTGCTTGGGACTTAATGAACCCACGACTCAACAAAAACGTAGAGAGCTCCTGGTACCACGCTCTCGGCGCTTGTTTAAGCCCATAGAGAGCTTTAATTAATTTGCAAACGTGAGTCGGGTACAGAGGATCGACAAATCCCGGGGGCTGCTCCATGTACACTTCCTCATGCAGCGTGCCATGAAAGAACGCATTATTGATGTCAAGTTGACGCAGACCCCAACGGTTACTCATGGCAATACTCAGAACAAGACGTATAGTGACTGGTTTCATGACCGGGCTATAAGTTTCAAAGTAATATCGACCAGCAGTCTGTAAGAACCCTTTAGCGACGAGCCGTGCCTTGTACCGATCCACAGAGCCATCTGGCTTACGCTTGACACGGTAAACCCATTTGCAGCCGATGGGAACCCCGGAACCACGGGGAACAAGACACCACATTTCATTGCGAAGAAGAGCGGCGTACTCCTCATCCATTGCTTTCCTCCACCTAGCGTCCTTAAGAGCCTGGGCGACGGTAGAGGGTTCTAAAGTGGGAAGCAAGGGATGTGAGGTGACATGGTTAACGACATAGTCAGAATACCTGGGATTGGGACGACGCTCTCGGGTAGACCGGCGCAAATTATTTTGCGTTTGGGAACCTTCGGAGGTAGTGATGGGCAAGGACTCAGACTGGTTGGTATGATGACTATGTTCTGGAACAGCAGAAGACGAACAACCAGGGGGTGACGAACTAGACGCAGCTGAAGGTGAACCAGTGCGGATGTCCAAACTAGTCTCGCCAAATTGTGTTGGAACATGAGTTTGAACATCCACTGGTGCAGGTTGCGCGTAGTCGGCTACGTCAGAGAGAGACCCAGCCGAGGAAGACACGGAAGGCGGAGTAGGAGTCGGAGTGGGTGTAGGAACAACTCCAGGCTGGGTGGACACATGAGATGACCTGAACAAAATATTGCTCATCTCCGAACCCTGCGAATCAGGCAAAGGTGTGACAGACGCCGGCTGCAAATCCTTATAAGGAAACACATGAGGCACAAAACGAACACGACTAGATATAAAAATACGACTAGATGTGGGGTCCAAACATTTAAAACCCGAATGTGTGTTGGAGTATCCAAGGAAAACACAAGGCCGAGACTTCGGCTCTAATTTCTTGGTGTTATAAGGTCTCAACCACGGAAAACATAAGCAGCCAAACGGTTGTAGTTTAGTGTAAGTAGGGGATTGATTAAACAGAACCTGAAAGGGGGATTGATTACCTAACACCGATGTTGGTAACCGGTTTATGAGATACACGGCTGTGAGAAAGGCATATGACCAATACGAGGTTGACAAGGAAGCAGAATGAAGGAGTGACATACCTGTTTCGACGATATGCCGGTGTCGCCGTTCAGCCACCCCATTGTGCTCGGGAGTGTGAGGTGGGGTGGTGAAGTGCGAAATACCATGGGCATTAAATAAAGCAACTAGTTTGATGAACTCACCCCCATTGTCTGAGTAAATAGAGACAATTGGCAGCCCAAAAAACTTCTCGACTAACCTTTTGAACTGAGGAAAAATGGTAAAAACATCTGACTTGTGCTTTAAGGGATACAACCAGACATATTTAGAAAAGTGATCAACAAAGACAACGTAATAAAGAAAACCATCAACAGACTTGTCTGTCGTTCCCCATACATCAGTGTAAAGTAACTGTAAAGGTTTTGTGCTAACGAGAGTGCTCTTGGAGAACGGCAATTTGTGACTCTTGTGTACATTGCAAGACCAACAGCGAAATTGACGTAGAGAGGCAGCAGAAACTGCAATTTTGCAATGTTGCAACACGAGTTGTAACACCTTATTTGACGGATGTCCCAACCGGTGGTGCTATTCAGACACAGATGTCAGGTGCGTGGCATTCATTTGAGGCTCATAAGAGAGAGTATTGTAGTACACACCATTAACGTTCGGCCCCCGTAACAATGCCATCCCAGTTTGAAGATCCTTCACGACAAAATGAGACACAAAGAACTCAACAGACACACGGTTAGCTTTGCAGAGTTGTGAAACAGAAACTAAACTTTTGTGTAGCTGTGGAACGTGCAAGACATTTTCTAGAGTAAGGGCAGAAGAAGAGGAGGGAATTGTGGCGTGACCAATGTGAGATATGTGTAAAGAGTTACCGTCACCCAAGCGTATTTGGTCCGGACCATTGTACTTGGAGAATGACCGCAAAGGAGCAGTAGTAGGAGTGGCATGGTGTGATGCTCCACTGTCGAAAAGCCACCCCGAAGATGAGTCCACCGTAGAGTTCGCCATAGGAGATGAAAGGAGTGGTGTCACCTGCACAGGAAGAACATTATTTTCCTCCAAAAACCGGGCTAATTTGCGGCAGACTCGTGGTACATGGCCGGTAGACTTGCAGAACTCGCATATGACATTAGCACCGTGGTGATATTTGGTTTGATGAAACTTTTGGCCAGAAGTAAACTGTTGAGTATTCCGGTGAGTGACATTGGCAGTAGCCAACACGGTTTGGCATGCTCGGTCATCGGCTTGTAACTGACGTTCATGATCAATAAGAACATCGGGTAGTTCCGCTAAGGAAATAGGCTTCTGTCGAACGTGAACAGCGGAGATGATTGAATTATATTCATCCCCGAGCTGCGTTAGAATGTACACGGCAAGGTCTTCATCAGAGACCGGGGACTGCGCCAACGCGAGTGCATCAGCGATGGATCGCATGTCATTCAAAAATACAGTAATCGACCGAGCACCTCTCGGATTTTGAGTGAGCTTGGCTTTGAGGGAAAGTATACGACCTCGAGACGCACTAGCGTAAGTAGTGGCTAGGCGTTGCCAAGCATCACAGGCTGTTGAGGCCGAAGACACGAGGGGTTGAATCGAGTCAGAACAACTCCCTAAGAGTGCACTGACGATGATTTGGTCTTGACGAACCCAAAGTAAATAATCTGGGTTTGTGGCTGTTTGAGCCGAACCAGCAAACTTCGGTGGTTCTTGGACAGAACCATCAACATAGCCGTGGAGGTTGAAGCCAACGAGTGTAGAGTGAACCTGGCGCCTCCAGGCTGGGAAATTTGTGGAGGTAAGTGTAATGGGAAAATTAGACGTGGCAGAAAGGTAAATGATATCAGTAGTGGCAGCCATTTGATAAAGGGTGAAAGAAAGAGGAAAAAAAACTTTGGTAGGAGGTTCTGGCTCTTGATACCATGTAAGGAAATGAACTGTTGTATATTGATGAAGAAGCTAACAGGTATAAATAATATATACAGGAGAACAAGTAGCTAAGAAGTTGTAACCACTACTCTAATATACCTATTCTAAAGGAATATAATTTGAATAAGTATAAATAGAAAACATCAACCACATATATTCTTAACAACAAGAACCTGACCCTATATATATATATATATATATATATATATATATATATATATATATATATATATTCAAATCTGGTTCTTTTCATCTCACAATGAGTGTTATTATTATAACAAAAGTCATGGATGTTTAAGTGGGACGGTTCAAGTGGTAATACTATAATGGCTAAACTGTCTTTCGCTTATTTCTCTGCCCCACAAACCACAGCTACTCTCCAAAACATTTCCTAAGTATGTAAATTGTAAACCCAAACTAATTCCCTATCGCATTATCGCTCCTTACTCCCTCTCTCCTCAAACCCAATATCCCATAATTGCCACCAAATATGCAACTTCTCAAACATATTTTATTTTCTTTAGTTATTAATTCACGGGTATGCTCTGATCTTCAGCATGGAACGATACAAGAGGTAATTAATTTCATTATTCATCCATCTTACTTGCTTTATACTTTCTTCTGGCTGATGTCTCACTTACGTACTATATAAAATATATGGAGTTAATACCTCCAATGGTCTGATCCGAGTATTAGGAATTTACCAGCTGTGATCATCCGAATTTTAAATGATCTGCAATGATTCTTCATGTTTTAAAAAATAACCATTTCATATTAATTTTGAATGTATGTACTATGTATCGACGATCTAAATCGATCCCATTGTCATCTTAATTTTTTTTAATACTATTAACTCTATTACAATGTGATATGGGGTTCGAATCTGTGACATGTTATTTGGGAGAGCCAAAGAGATGTTATTGAGCTACAAACATCTTAATTTATTCTCATTCATATTTAATATTTACCCAAGAACTTAATGCCCAAGGTACTTGGCTGTTTGATACAAAAATTACTTCTGAAGGTATATTGTGAATACTTGTTGTGTTCAGAAAATGATTTAGAAGAGTTGGCATGATTTTGCCCAAAATAATGAGTGGGAGGATAGTTTTGCCCTCCAAATTTAGGTATCACCTGTTGAGCCAAATCTGACAACATTTGTCGAGATTAAATTCTCCGTAGGATAAATTTGAAAATTTTATTCATAGTTGTGCATTTAAAGTGGAAAATATGAAAGTCCAAATAAATTATAAATTGAAAGGCCTTGAAAGTTGAGGGACCAAAATTGAACTAAATTTGTAACTTACATTTTATAATAACGTGTTTCTTAAGTTTTAAAAATGTGTATATATCACTTTTTTTCTTTATAAATATTATTCTTGGAGTGTATTGAAGGATAAGAATATATGTTTATCTAGTCTTTTGATTCTCCTTCATTTCAGCTTCAAATGCTATTATATAAGTGATCATTTAGTACTGATGATTAAACATAAGCAAACACTACGTACTAGAAGCTGTCCTCATTCCCCCCCGGCCTAATTCTCAATTCAATATGGCAAACCAAACACTATTGCTATCTAGGAGAATAATTCCACAACCAACAATCACACTCTCATCACCAAGAAGTCAAGTTCCTGATGAGAGCATAATCAGGGAGCAGGTCTTGTCCACTCACAACTATGATGGTAGAAAGTTCAACACCAGTTTCATTTTGAGCATTGTAGAAAACATTCTTAGTGTGAAGATGGTATGTTAATCTACTTATCACTTGTTGGTATTAAGAAATTAAAACTATTTAAGTTTAACCAGTTAAACTATACGCCTTTGAGTATAATTTTTCTTATTGGTACGAGTGATTCTATATCATTTAATTGTTAAAAATTTTATATGTAATTTAATTGAGTGTTTTTTTTTTCACTTTTGATCCCAAAACTATGTGACTATTTTCAAATTTGGTCCTAATTATTACATCTTTTACATTTGGTCCCACGACTTTTAAATCTTTGCCACATTTGGTCCTTGCGATATAATTTTTGGTCACCAGTGACTTGTCTTAAAAGGCTAAATTATCATTTTCCATTACTTTTTCCATAAACATCTAAGGGGAGGGGATTGAAAATAACAAATTTGTCCTTCAAGATAATTCAATGGCCTGAAATTAGGTTAGGGAGACCAAATGTGGCAAAAATTTCAAAGTTGTGCGCGAGACTATATATGAAAAAATTAATAGTCGGGGACAAAATGTAAAAATAGTCCTACAGTCGTGAGACAAATACTAGCTAGCTAAAATGTTGTTTTGAATGTGTTGTGGGGCTGAGGGTATTGGTGAAGAAGCAGGGGTGGAGAAGTTGAATCAAGTTGAAGAGCTCATCAATTATGAAGAACTTCCTTCTCATATCATCACAGACAACTTTCATTTGAGGTGTGATTAATCTTTCTAAATCATTTGATGGCCAAGATGGAGCAATATAATATATATATATATATATATATATATATATATATATATATAAAATTTTCAGATAGCTTTGTTGGAAAAATTAGCTTAAAATGGCATAAAATTGCATATTAAGTGGTTATTTTGTGGTACAATTATCAGTGGGGTCCACTTCCAATTTGGGTCGGGTCAAAGTGGATTCGGGTTCTTCGTAGTGAGACGAAGAGATTGATATATTGTACGCTCAAAACGGATAATGGGTGAATGAGATATTGATTCTCAAAGTAGACCCATTTGAGTCTGGAAATGAAGGGAACAAAGTGAGCTTTAATTTGTCCCACATTGGTTTGGAAAGTGGATTTAACCCCCTTATATACAAGAGCTCTTTTGAAGCTTGTAGAATTGTATAGCATAGAGGTTCTATCGCGCGGGGGTGAGGGGGGGGGGGGGGTTGTGCAAATCAAACGCTCGAAAGTTTAGCATTAGCATTTACGAAACCAAAAGGAATTCCAATACAGTTTTGCTTCTACTCTCTTCTTTAGCTTCTACTCGCTTCTTTACCCAGCAGCAGTGTACTTCTGCTTCTACTCTCTTCTTTACCCAGCAGTGTTCTAAGCTTTGCTTTGTTTGCCGGGTTCTTTGTTTAGGTGCTTAAACAAAGAATCGTAGCACGTTTTATCCTGGGAAACCTAGGCTACAACGCTCCTAGCACTTGTGGGAGGTAGCAAATAAGGTTTTAAGGAAAAGAACTTTGTGTTCGAACTCGTGCTAAATATATATCCAAACACTCCACCTTTTCCTTCCCAATTTTCTGTTTTTCCCATATAATAATAATTTTTCTGTAGAATTATTATTTTGGGATTTTCCACCATATTACCCAACAAGCTTCAGCTGGTTTGAACAGTAGTGCAAATAATGAACACTCCACCACTATTCATATACTGAGAATGCTGTGTTGGTATTGTTGGGAAGATAAGATGGTGTTGATACTCTCAGCTTTCTCCACTATCATCTATGGGCAACTCTACTGCAGCGGCCATGGGAAGATAATTAGACAGGCAATGGCTCAGAAGTTGGAACTTCAGCTCAAGCAAAAAGCTGTTGTTGATTGCATAAGTTCTGTTCTGCGACTCACTAAATGCGTTGTTGAGCTGAAACAAACTACAACGCCATCATCTAATTACTCTACGCCACAATCAATAATCTCTGCCTTGCCAATTGCAAGCTATTGGATAGGTAGAAGTGTTATTGCCACTACTTATTGTCCTTCTCAAAATGATGAACTTATTCAGGAACTTACCACTTCAACTGCTACCATACTCCACACTTTTTCCTCAGAACTAGGTTGGTTTTATTTTATATATGTGTTCATATTTATTTATCGATGATTGTTAATGAAATATATATAAGCGCAGCACACAATGATGTTGGAGCTAACGTTTGTAACACAAATGATCTGTAACGCAGTTCGGGCAAACAACCCTAATCTGCGAGGCACTTCTCAATTTGAGAACTTGCCTAAATCCACTAAAAGCTCAATATTTAAAGTACACTGGTTGGAACCTGAGATTACACAATAGAATGATCTTTCCTACCAAACTATTGAAACCTAAGCACATGTACTACTTTCTAGGGGAATTTAGTATCCTATTCTCAAAGACTCTCGTACCTCACAAGATTAATGTTGAATGCTTGAGTTCTACAATAAAGGGCAATCCCTATTTATAGTAACTACTCCTAACATATTTGTCAGGGCTGTCAAAGTGGGCCGAAGCCCGCGGGTTAGCCCGCACCGCCCCGCGATGGGGCGGGTTAGGGCCGCAAGAAATTAGGCTCGCGAAAATGCGGGCCTAACGGGCATGGCCCGCGGAGGGCCAGAGCCCGCGCGGGCAAACCCGCGTGGGTTGCGGGCCGACCCGCGGGCTAGGCCATATTTAAAAAAAAAAAAATAAATTATATATATAATATCTTTTTTTTAAACCATATATATAATATCTTAATTCTTAGGCAGTGTGTAGATCTCACTATCTAAGAGTACGCAGAAGGGGAGAAATCCAATAATTCAATAATCCTTCGCCAATTCTTAATTAAATAATTCCTAGAGTACGTAGTTCTTCGGTTCTCCCGTCTCCATCCGCCTCCAACTCTATCAAACAATTACTAAAACTAAATCATCAATTCATACATATTTATGAATTACTAAATCACCTCCAAGTCCAGCAAACATACATATTTATATATGTACTATACATAGACAGGAATTGTAGAGGGAAAATCTGAAGTCGAGAGAGAAATAGAGTGTGCTGTTGAACCCTAGCTTTGATCACCCTTCTACAGTAAATCTGAAGTCGAGAGAGAAATAGAGTGTGCTGTTGAACCCTAGCTTTGATCACCCTTCTACAGTAAATCTGAAGTCGAGAGAGAAATAGAGTGTGTTGTTGAACCCTAGCTTTGATCACCCTTACAGTTCTGCTCAACGCGCGGTATCGATCTGGGAGATTTGGGCGAGGTTTATGGATTTTATGGAAGTTTCCGGTGCATTGAGGTGTATCATACACCGTGAGGATGCGAACGACCAATAAATAGTGCCATATTTCAAGCGGTTTTAACATGTTTATATACTATTTAATGTTTTTTTTTTTTAATTTAAGTGATGGCCCGCGGGCCAGCCCGCGAGACCCGCAAGCCCGCATGGGGCGGGCTTGGGCTGTATAGTTCCAAGCCCGCGGGCTGTTGCGGGCCGGCAAATAAAAAGCCCGCGGTGGGGCGGGCCTAATGAGGCGGGTCGGCCCGCATTGACACCCCTAATATTTGTGAATAACAAAGCTATTCCTAATCAAACTAGAACTAGAAAAACTTCAATAACAATTCCCTTTAGAACTAGTATTCTTCATTAGCTATTCCTCTTATGACTGATATTCCTTTATAGAACTGGAATTCTTTTTGCACAACTTTGACAAAACACTTTGAGTCAACATTCTCCCCCTTTGTCAAATTTTTGGCAAAAACCTTGATTCCATAAAAAGCTTTTGACTTCTGACTCATCTCCCCCTTAATTGATTCCATGTAAAAAAAAAAAAACTTTGACTTTTTGACTCATCTCCCCCTTAATTGATTCCATGTAAAAAAAAAAAAAACTTTGACTTTTTGACTCATCTCCCCCTTAATTGATTCCATGTATCTTTGTTATTGGTGAGTGCTATCGTTGAGTATGATTTGTTTAAAACAAATTTCCCAATTATATCAGCCTATCACAACTAATTTCTCCTCTTATTTATTCTTCCTCTGTTATTACCGCCAACGCCTTTGATTTCATCACTTCTCCTCAATCGCGACATCCCGAAGGGAAATTGCACATCGGAGGAGCACGACGCCAAAGCTGAGACAATCTGTCGAGAATTCTTTTAATCGGAGATGAATTCTGGCCATGCAAACATGAATCCACTGAGATTCCATCAATCGGTCTCTTCTGCCTTACGATCGCATCTAGATTTCCTGACCGGAATTTCGAACGTACTAATTCTGCGCCATCATTAATTTCTGGAAATAACACAAAATCCGGTGAAAGCTCTTCAAAATGATCTCTAAAATATCCGATCTGATCTTCATGGGATAACTTAGACGAAACTGGAATTTCTCCAATTTCCGGTGACATAATCATCGCCGGAAAACGCTTTGTTGCAACCGTCATACCACCCTCGCCCTCCAGGGCTGTCTCGCACAAACAGGTTGGAGGTGGTTCGCATTCGTCTTGAATATTTTGGTAGGTTTTCTGTGAAATCAGAACAGGGCTCATAATGATCGTTGAAGAGCCATCATTCTTTTCTTCATCTGGTTCTGTTTCTGTTTTGTGATTCTGCATAACAGTAGTCAGAGGTGTTGGAACAGTTGTTTCAACAACTCTGGGACTTTCGTCATCATTAGTGGTTATTCTTGAAACTGTGTTATTAATAACCACATTCATGGATTCCATTGTACTGTCTGCACTGAAGGTCTTACTGTTTGATGAATAACTTGAATAGTCTAGGAATATTTCTTGGTCCCCTTTGATGTCATGAGAATTTATGTGTCCCATATGTTGGTGCCGTGATTGTTTTTGTTTGTTAGTTGTCTGTAAACCAGATAGGTCACCATTCCATGTATAGCATTTGTTTGCGGACCTTTTTCCCATCATGACACACTTGTGATTCTGATTAAACACAGTGCAATTGTCTTTAGAGAATTCTACTTTGAGTTCATCTTCACAAAGCTGACTTATGCTGATTAGATTTGTTTTTAGACTTTGTACTAAAAGGACTTTTGGCAACCTAGGCAGCCCATGGACATTCAAGATGCCGCTTGCAATGATCTGGCCTTTTCCTCCATCTCCAAAGGTAATATGTCCTTCATTCTTGTACTGAATGTTTTCCAGATTTTCTAGATTTCCTGTCATATGCCTTGAACACCCGCTGTCAAAATACCATACGTTTTGTTCTTTGCTAGTTTTTGAGGTGTAGGCAACATTCTGATCTTTTCTTACCCAGATTTTCTTGCTTTGTACTGACCAATCTCTGTTGATTTGTCTGTAATATAGATCATTTTGTCTTTTGAAACAGTATGCTTTTATGTGCCCCAGTCTGTGACAGTAATAGCATCTGATCCTCCTTCGGTGTTGGAAGTGATGTTGCGACACTTCAGGAATTTCAGTAAAATGACTTTCATTGGATGCTGGATTTGGAGATCTAGGCCTCGCAGTTAGTTCCTTGATCTCTTGTAACAGTTTGACCTCTCTGCCTTTCGACTCCATTAATTCAATCTGAGTATCTTTAAGGCGTTTTTCTCCTCTATCTTTTTCATCTTTTAGAAACTGATTTTCTTTCATGAGATCTAGATTTATTTTGATGATTTGTTCCCATTTGGCATGTAGTTGAGTATATGCCTCTAGTAATTCTTGTATATCTTCTCCGTTGTTATTTTCATGATTTGCGGTGAATGCTACGAAATTGGTGTTGGTGTCTTCTTCACTGTCTGAGTCATCACTTAATGTTGTCATGTATGTCTTGTTCTTCCTTTTAAAGTATGTTGGACATTCTGACTGGATGTGTCCAAACCCTTTGCACTCGTAGAACTGTATCCCTTCTGTGTTTGATAGTCCTTCTCTTGGAAATTCCATTAGGATCCTGCTAGTAACTTAAGCAGTTTGGCTCTGATACCAATTGAAATATATATAAGCGCAACACACAATGATGTTGGAGCTAACGTTTGTAACACAAATGATCTGTAACGCAGTTCGGGCAAACAACCCTAATCTGCGAGGCACTTCTCAATTTAAGAACTTGCCTAAATCCACTAAAAGCTCAATATTTAAAGTACACTGGTTAGAACCTGAGATTACACAATAGAATGATCTTTCCTACCAAACTATTGAAACCTAAACACATGTACTACTTTCTAGGGGAATTTAGTATCCTATTCTCAAAGACTCTCGTACCTCACAAGATTAATGTTGAATGCTTGAGTTCTACAATAAAGGGCAATCCCTATTTATAGTAACTACTCCTAACATATTTGTGAATAACAAAGCTATTCCTAATCAAACTAGAACTAGAAAAACTTCAATAACAATTCCCTTTAGAACTAGTATTCTTCATTAGCTATTCCTCTTATGACTGATATTCCTTTATAGAACTGGAATTCTTTTTGCACAACTTTGACAAAACACTTTGAGTAAACAGTTAATATATAAATTAATTATTTTTCATATATATATATATATATATATATATATATATATATATATATATATATATATATATGCAGAAAAGAAGAGGGAAGAGGAATCCTATGACGCATTGAAGCGTGCTTTATATTACAATTCTTCTAGTAAGTCTGAAGTTTTCAAGTTAATGTTCAATGTGAGGGATGATGAGATGCTATTTAAAGACACGGTGAGATTTTAAACCTTAAACTGCCAATAATGTTCATTATTTACTATTATTTTGTGCTATATGTATTTTTAATTATCAAAATAGGTTCATATATATTATATTTAACTGTAGGGGAACTATTTCATCCAACTGCCTAATATAAGGTGAAAAGCATGCAATGCAAAAATAAAAATTTGTATGTTTCGTAGTATACTTGGTAACGTACGTGTGAATATATATATATATATATATATATATATATATATATATATATATATATATATATATATATTATTAGGGATTAAATGATTGGAACAGCACAAGAGTGGTCCTGCTAATTACACAAGGCTTTGACATCTCTGCACAGAGGATTCGTTTTCTGAAATGGTTTGCCCAGTATGCGAATCCAACACTACTTTGGATTCCAATCGCTCAGAATAATGATGCATCATGGACTACTAAGGATGAGCAACAATATGCAGGATTAAGAAGAAGGATGCCCCACTCGTACTTGTTGAACGATCCGCAAAAAATGATTTCGCCACAATTCATTAGATTTGTTAAAGAGTAGCTCTTTCCAGACTTCCAGATATGAGGGGAGCCTATCATTGTTTCATTAGATATGCAAGGGAGAATTGCTCATCCAAATATAATGCACATGATACAGATATGGAGTTTAGATATATTGAAAAAAATACATTAGGAATTCAAGGAGTATATGGTTTACCTGCTTTGGTACAAAAAGAGTTGAAGAAAGGGACTTCCAGCATTAATAGTGTGATACCTGAAATCAGTGATAAGATAAGTGTTTTGGTAGGTGACATTGACCACAAGATAGTTGCTTGGGCACACGATATTGAAGAGAGGATGCAAAATTTGGTATTTATTTATTTCCAGAGTCATCATGTTCTTAGAAAAAGAAAAAAAATTTATTTCTTAAATTTGGCACTTTATAACATTAATTACCTTATTTTCATTCATAATCAGATTGAACAATCCACTCCGTATGACAATGAAAGGGAAAAATTCCTATGGCAACAAGAACCATATTGCAGTCTCGACCTTGTGGTAGGAACATATGGCCACAATGTTCATGTTGATTATGTTATACAAAAATGGGTATGGCGGCTTCTAGCTTCAACCTCTTAATTATACACTACACGCCTACAATTTCTTATTTCTTTTACAAATTGTTTAGCAACTATATGGGGTCGTTTACTTCATCTCTCTGTTTTTCCATTTCCAATTTTCCAATTTTCCAATTTTCCATTTCTCCAGTTTTCCTTCTCCATTCTTCCAATTTTCCATTTCTCCATTCCTCTGTTTTATATTTCTCCATTCCTCCAGTTTTTTTTTTTTTTTTTAAAAAGATAATAATAAAACCAACAACAACAACAACAACAACAATAATAATAATAATAATAATAATAATAATAATAATAATAATATAATACTAATAATAAAATAGCAATAATAATAATAATAATAACAATAAGAATTTAATAATAATATTAGCAAAAATTAATAATAATAATAATAATAATAATCTAATAATAATACTAGTGAAAATAATAATAATAATAATAATAATAATAATAATAATAATAATAATAATAATAATAGTAGTGGAAATAATAATAATAATTTAATAATAATAATAATAGTAATAAGAATTTAATAATAATATATGAAGAAGAAGCTTGAGAAGTTGAAGCGACGGCACGCGAAGAGGAAGAAGGATGAAATCATGAAAACATGGCAAAGGGCGCTACTCAGAGTCGAACACGGGACGTCAGGGTCAAAGGGCGCTACTGTTCTCGCGTGTGTTTCCAATTCTCCATTTGGAGAAGTTGGATTTTGTATTCTCCAAATTCCTTAAGAAAGTTGGAGATTGGAGATGGAGTAAGCATTTGGAAGAAGATATTTGGTAAACAACTTCTCCAATTTTTATTTTTTCCACTTCTCAATTTCTCTATTTTTTGGAAAATTCTCCATTTTTCCAAGTTAGTAAACGACCCCTATATGTTCTTATTACTTCTGTTTGACACGGAAGATTATATTTTCTTATATGGAGGTATATGGAGGAACATTAATTAGATTCGAGTGTTCACTTCCAAAGTACGCCAAATTGGTTCCAATATCCAATTGAAGGTAAACTTGGCCTATGTTGGTAAAAATAAGATGATAACATCATAAATGATTGTTAGCTGATTGTTGTTAGCTGATTGAATTAGAGGGGATGACTTAGTTGATAATATTAGTTGATTATAGAAAAAGATGTTTGGTAAATTACCTGTTAGCTGATGATAGTTGTTTGATATAATTTTTTTTAGAGGAAATTTCAATTTTGGTAATATGACTATAGATGTCTTGTTAATTTTAGTCTCTGACTTTGAAAAGTGTCAATTTAGTACTTTAACTATGCAATTTTTGTCAATTTTGGTCACCCCGGCCAAATTGCCGACCAAATTTCGTCAGAAAATTTTAATAATTAAAATAATGAGGATATTTTGGTCGTTTCACGTCTGTTTTCTTCTTTCCAGGCGAGTCCATCCCTTCCTCTACCGTTTTCGGCAATGAACTAAGATGATGGGGAAAGGAGGCTTGATGATATTAAAGATAGGGTTTACAGGGAGAAAGAACGCCGGAAATGGGAGAGAAAGGGATGGACTCGTCGGAAAAGAAGAAAAGAGGCGTGTAACGACCAAAATATCCTCATTATTTTAATTGTTAAAATTTTTCGGCGAAATTTGGCCGGCAATTTGACCGGAGTGACCAAAATTGACAAGAATTGCATAGTTAAGGTACTAAATTGACACTTTTCAAAGTCAGTGACTAAAATTAACAAAACCCCTATAGTCAAATGACTAAAATTAAAATTTTCTCCTTTTTTTATTAAAAAAAAAACTAATTGAAAAAGTTGTTTTGAGCAGCTTTTTGAGTTTTAGCATTTTGGAGTTACAAAAAGCTTATTAACCAAATACTTATATTGATTTTTTAACTAAGTCAAACAACCAATTATGGTCAAATAAGCTGGAAAATTGGCTGATAAGCTAACTATTTTATCAATCATGGCCGCCATATATATATATATATATATATATATATATATATATATAGGGATGCATGCAGGTGCGAATAAGTGCCCAGGAAGGCGAACGAATCAGTGCGCGACACGTGTCCAGATCTAATATCTTAAAAAACGCGGTGGCATTTTCGTAAATAATTGAACATCGAAGTGCAAGTAAAATCACTTACAAGTGCACCCACTTTCACCTATAAGTGCATATAATTTTGCCTTGTTAGCATTCACTTCCCGCAAATATTCATGCACCTGGTGTGCTTATAACTATAGGTGCAACTATTTATACTATAGGTGCAACTACTTATAAATATAGGTGCACCTACTTTCACATATAAGTGCATGTAACTTTGCATTGTTAACATTCATTGATCTGAGTTCAGCGGGTTGTAATACCCCTGAAAACCACCCGCAAACATTCATGCACCTAGGTGAAACTACTTATAACTATCTGTGCAATTACTTAGAAGTATAGGTGCAACTACTTATAACTATTGGTGCACTTAGTATTGATGCTAAGTGTAAATTTTTACTTGCACCTATAATACATTTTACATGCACTTGTAATACATTTTACTTGCACTTCGATGTTCAATTATTTATGAAAATGCCACCGAGTTTTTTTTAAAAAATCAGTGTTTCTCATCCATTAGATCTGGACACGTGGACGGACGGAATGCATTCCTATTTCCCCCCAAAACTTAGGGTCATTTATGTAATATCAGTGTATTAATTAATTATGGAAAGAATATTATGGTAATAAAAGAATATCATTGGAACATCCCTAATTTCCATGCTAATTAAAGCCT